TGTGTGTGTGTGTGTAAAATTATTTTTAATTTTTAAACATATTGCTTTTATACCTGATAGTTTTAAAGAAATCGTAACTATATATATATATACATATATATATAATAGTTATAAAATATTTTATTTTAGATTTTATTAATATTTATTCTTAATCATATGACATCTTATAAAATAAATATACATACCAGCTAAAATGACGAAATTTAGAGTCATTTTGATTACTTTAGTTCTTCGTTAAACTCGTAATTGTGAATTTTTATCCTTCTCGTCTCCTCATTTAATCTCAACCACTTCGTTAGCTCACTTTACTCTGTCTAATCGAATTTCAAAATCCGTACGAAAATGTTTATATTTCTTTCTTTTTTCAAAATATGTAAACAGGATGCTGTAACCTGTGTCAATTTCATTTCGAACACGTATTATGCGGCAAATCTCTAACTTATGACTTTGACAGGTAATTCTGTTGAGATCAGATTTTATGAAATATTATAAGTTTAAAAAAAAATAACAATAATAAGGTTTACCATAATATAAATTATATCGACAGAATCGTAGACACGTTCTAGAATTAAAGTGTTCTTAGGCTCTTTCAATTCGCTACCGATAGATAGCAGATGGAATTTGAATGACGAACTGAATTTATGCCACATAATGCCAAAATGCCCAGTTCCGCTGATCCGATACGAGTGAATTTATTGCAAATGCATTGGGCGTGTTGTATCTCACAGCCAGCGTGTCTTCGAAAATAAATGAATTACTTCATGATAATGGAACAAAACATAAACAAACTTTGAGAAGCATATAAAACAATAAACGGACTGCTTTTGTATACCAAATATTCTTTTTTTCGGGGTTACTAAAACTTCAATTTGGTATTCTTTGTTATCGATATTAAAATAATCGTCGACATTATATATACATTCTTCCAATATCTTTGTATTCTTTAATGTTACAACTGTCGTTGCTCCTGCAATAGCGTATAAAAGCAGTAATTAATCTTTCATTATTAGAGGAATAATTTGCAATTGTATTGTTTTTACCATTAGATATGGGTTCTCCATTTTTTACTCGCACGCAGATGCCAGGTATGATCGAAATCTCTGCGAACTGGAAAAGAAACAGAATCTTATAAAGATTTAGCTTGACGGACGACTGAGTTTTCTGACTAACTTATAATTGATGATGACTAATTCAACCGGCAGAATTACTTTCTGCAAAATTTCTAATTGTACAATTATAGCCTCCCATGATCTCTAATATTCCTTTTCACGTTTCAGGCTATATAGAAAAATTAATAATCCAAATATTACGGTCGAAATGCGAGTCACCATTTGTTAATCAGAGTTTGGTCAGCTTCACCATGGGATGTGCTTTCAATACTCTTTTTATGCCCTTCCCGTCGCTGGCTAACATCGCGTATCCATGTTTAGCAGAAATGTTACAAAGCGGCACAGAGGAATATATTTTATTTACCAGTATCCTACCGTAGGCATCTTTTATTTGCACATTTTCTTCCTTTGCGAAATGGAATTTGTTTACTATAAGATGTATCATATAATGCCTCTGTCATGTATAATGCCTCTTCCACTGGTAACATAAGTTGATTCCTTTGTTTCTTATAAATACTCTTTGCTATTAACATATTTTTCTGTTGGGATTCAATTGCGATGCGATTCGCGTGTACGTTTTGTGGAAATTCGCTTGTTCTTTCGAACGAGGAAGATATTTTATCGTGGAAGATATTTTATCATTTTTTTCACTGGGGACGCATTGCAAAGATAACGATTTATCAGAAATATCATTATTATTATTATTACAAAACGCCTCATCAAAACCATGATTTTCGGTATTACAAATTTTTTTATCTTGTACAATATGCATTATTGAGAGTATCAAGGATGTATAAGATTCATGTTTCTCAAGATTTATCATTGCGTTTATAAAGGAGTCATATATACTAATAATAAGTTTGTCCTTTCGTATATACCACATATAAGTCTGAGAACACATAGTTATGTTGTAAAAGCAGTAATCTCAAAAATCGCAAGATGAATAAAAATAAAATTTTACCGATTAAATTTAATGAATACGTTATTGAATACGTTAGTTTCTCTCTTAGTTTTGATATTAATATAGATAGATTCTCAGAAATATTTTTATCAATGATTTCTTCAATCGCTTCATATGCAACATTGTTCACAACAGAAATTTTGCCAATTAAGATAATAATATTATCTTTATCCTGATCGGTCAATGAAATTAATTTTTCCTATATATAACATAATTATACGATAGGTGCATGAGTACGTATGAGAAAAGATATTTAAAAAAACTATAACTGTAGAAATTACCTTTACTTTCTTTTATGACACTTCGAAAATTCAATGGAAGCCAGTTCTCCTACAACGCTTATACTGCGTTTTAGTAAATGAGCTTGATTGATAATTGATGATTTAATACTGCTGTCTTGCAGCCCTACTATATAAGTAATTAGAATAAAATTATTAAGATATTTTTAAGAAGTATACGATTTGAATCAATATTACTAAAAATTACTAATAGTCAAAGATATATGTCTGTAGATGCGCGCGCGCGTGTGTGCGTGTACATATGCATGTGGAATTTTTTAAAATCTTAATAACATGTGCGCGATGAAATATTTTGTTTTGGATTTTAAAATTTATTTTTAAACATTTGATATGTACATATATTTTATAAGATAAATATACATACTTATTAAAATGATGACATTCAGAGCCATTTTAGTCTCTTTCAAACTTTCTTATAAATCTCGTGACGAAACTTTCATTGTTTTCGTCTTCTATATTAAATTTCGACCATCTCGTTCGCTAGCTGACTTTATTTGTCCATTCGATAAAGTTGTTAAACTATAAAAGCCATGTATTTATATTTTTTCTCCTTTCAAAATATTTCTAATATAAGATTGTGATTTGCCGCAGCGCTACCACAGCGGTTTTTGACAACTAAGAAATGTACCTACTATTATTTCCGGAATTATTTTACGCTTTTACATAACATATCGGCAATTTTCTCAATTTGCCATATATTTTACGTATTCCAGGATTATGTGAAATTATTATATTTTTAAGGGAAAACTAAAAAATAAAAAACTATATAGATACGTGTAGCAATTTATTTGTTTTTCTCTTAGGACGTTACACAACCAAACTGCCTTGAGAGATAGTCGATCTTTAATATAATTGAGATGTAATAATTTGCATATAAAATAAATGTAACTAAATATTAATCATAATTCAATAAATTATAATTCAATAATATGCAATTAGAATTATGTTTATATTATATTCAGGGCTGATTTGACATATTTTTATTTAAAACATAGTATTTACAATACAAATATATTTTATATTTTGTATATTTTAGCGAAGCCCATGAAAGTATCACATATTTTGTATTTAAAATTGGAAGGTTGAAAATTTTTTATATTTTGTAATTTAAATAATAAGATTGATTGTCAATCATAGTATTTAAAATATAAAATACAAAATATAAAATACAATTTCCGATAAAAAATTTTTCATGCATGAATATGTACAAACATAAATATTCATAAATATTCATAAATATTCATATGTATGAAATAATAATATTCATAATCATATATGAAATATGTCCATACATGTTCATATATCCCTCTTTCTTTTGTAAAATTACTTCAGTGTAATAAAAATAATAATAGTAATATAAAAATATTAAAAATAATAAAAAATGATCAAAATTTCACACTATTTGTTGTAAAAAAAATCAAGTTTGAAAAAAATCTAAAAAAATTATTTATGTATAATTATATATAAAATTATACATAATTGTACATAAACAATTATTTTTATATTTTCGAAACTTGTTTGTTTCTAAAACGAATGCGAAAATGATCCTTTTAAGTATTTTTTATGTTTTCACATTATTATTATTATTTTTATTATACTGAAAAATAATTTTACAAAAGAAAAATGGGTGTATAAATATCTATGGACATATTTCATATATGATTATACATGTTATGAATATCTATGTATGTTTATATATATTTATACATATGAGAAATTTTTTATTTTACAAATACTGTTTTTCAAATAAAAGTATTTCAAATACATGTCTTGATTATATCATTATAATTGTAATTAGAGAAATTCGGTATTCGATATTATCCGACATTTTTTTATTATATGACCGGATAGTCGGATATTATTAGTATCCGGGTATATATATATATATATATATCCGTTTGAAATGTAATTTTATATGATATTTTTATTATATAAATGTCCTACAAATTAGTACTTATAATATTATATCTTATTACAGGAATGTACCGGATCGTAAAATTACCAGATACCGGATAGCGAAAGAATATTTAGAAAGAATGTAATATCGGATATTGATCGGATATCCGAGAAGGCAATTTCTTAGAGTCGAATATCCAACATTTTCCGGATATCCGATCAGATTCCGAGAGTGTCTTTAAAAAAAAGCCTATAGAGAAAAGCTTCATAGAGAAAAGGATCATAATTTTGCAATGTATAAGATATTATAGCATCATAAATATGCTTAAATATGCAATATTTAGAATATTTGTATAAAAAAAAATTAACAATTTAATGATGTCAAATTTCAATCAGATGCATTCTCATTCATACTAATGATATTTGGCTAGCCGGTTGAATAGTAAAAAAGTACTGAATAATACCGAGTACTAGATACTTTTCGGACCCCTAATATCTTATATTGTTACAAAATTACAATTTGTTTCTCTACAGTTTTTTTTTTTTTTATAGAAAACGTCCCGGAATCCGGTCGGATTCTAGAAAATATCGAATATCCGACTCGAAAATTTGCCTCCCTGGATATCCGATGTTACATTCTGTCCGAATTTGATATCCTGTGTATTCCTAATAATTAATTATAATTCAATAACATGTTGAACAACAATTCAAATGTATGCAAATATTTGTCCTGCGTTGATTAAGAATATCTTGGAGACTTTTCAGCCGAAAAACATCGCTGATACGAATGCCGCGTCTATTTTCGATTCATGCACCGTACGCTGCGGTAGCATTAGAAGCGCATTAGCTTTTTGATATTTCAATATGTTCTGATGTTTTTTTGAATAGCAAGTCCTTGGAAATGTTTCCTTCTCTGACCAGTGTAAGGTTGTCCATGAAAATTTCGGACGACGATGCAGCTCATGCGTTGTCATTATCTGTAACGATAGTGATATGACGTATCAGTATGTCTTTTCCCGTATGTGGAATGCAAAAAGAGATGTCTTACACAAGTCTGTATATTAGGTTTGGGCTCATAAGCCATGATATCGAAGTGCATCCCGTTCAAAAACGGCAGAAGGAATATATGCGAGACAATGGGAATTGTTACTGGGTTTGCCGACATGCATAGGAAAAACTTCATTTTGTGATTGAAGATGCACGTTGCGAATGTTGTTGATTTTCCTGGTTTCATCTCCACGTGACCTAAGGCAAAAAAACAGTGTTTGAACAAAAAAACGTGTCACACTGCTAGCATATACCGAATTAAAATAAAAGAAATGATATACCAAAATGTATAACAGCGTTAAAATATTCTCTTAAGATAGGCTTTAATAAATCATTGTCGTTTGCATGTCCCATTATTACAAGTAGGTTTACTTTGTTCAAAGCGTATTTAATATTTTTGATAATGGCTTTTAACCTGCGAGAAATGTGATCGTTAAATTAATTAAAAGCTATGACGATATTAATTATTTGTAAATTAAATCGTGTTTTACAGATGAAAAATCACAATAAATTTTGGTTGCACTCACTGATAAGCTGAAATTCCTAAGTCTACGGGATTGTAACCGTTTTCTTTCAATAATGACATTAGAGTTATATGATTACAGTCGTAAATGTGTTTTAAAGTTGAAGTATACCCAGGCTGTTCCAATTTATCTCCGATAGACAACAGACCTACGGATGGAATTTGAATGACAGGAACTGAATTTATGCCACATAATTTCAAAATGCCCAATTCCACCGATCCAATACGACTGTATATCTGTAAAACAGTCTGGCCGTTCTCTATCTCACAGTCAGCATTTCTTCAGCGAAAATAAATAAATTGTTTTGTGTTAATAGAGCAAAGCATGCTTTGAGAAGCATAGAAAACAATAACGGACTGCCTTTGTATACCTAATATTCTCGTTCTTTTGCGGGGCTACTAAAACTTCAATTTCGTATTCCTTGTCGTTGATATTAAAATAATCGTCATCATTGTCGCTACATTCTTCCAATATCTTTGTATTCGCTAGCATTACACCCGCCGTTGCTCCTGTAATCTCAGATTTTAATTAATCCTTATTATAAGCAAATCAGTGTAATTTACAGTTGTAATTATTTTTACCATTGGGTATGGGATCTCCACTTCTTACTCGCACGCAAGTGCCAGGTACAACCGAAATCTCTGCGAACTGGAAAAAAAGCGATATTTTGTAAAAATCTAGTTTCAAACTATTTCTTAGAAAAGAGAAGAAAAACTAGAAAAAAAAAACAATTAAACTGAAATTGAAATTAAACTTAAAATTGAAATTGAAATTTAATTTAATTGACGCCTAATGCTCGTTTCTACCAATATAGTTTTATTTCAATTTCGGTTCAATTAACTATTTATTTTTTTTTAATTTTTCTTTTCTTTTCTAAGAAATGGAGAAAGAGAGAAAGAGTAAATTAAATTGAAATTAAATTTAATCTATATTGATAGAAATAAATATAATTTATCAATAGAATTATTTTCTGCAACATTTTCTACTGCACAATTTATTGACAATGATTTCCAATACTCCTTTTTACGCTTTATATAATGTAGAAAACGTAATAATAATATCCGTTCTACCCAAATCGGTCGAGCCATTACATTAATCAGAATTCGATAATCTTTACCGTGAGATGTGCTTTCAGTACTCTTCTTTTACTCTTTCCGTCGCTGACCAACACCGCGTATCCATGTTTAGTCGAAGTATTATAAAATGGCACGTTTGTAGAGGATTTTATATTATCAGCCAATACCCTGCTATAAGCATTATTCGTCTTCACGGTTTCTATATAACATTCATACTCATCGTCTAATATTTTGTGCATTGTATGTAATGCATTTTTTACCGACATCATAATAGTTTGATTTTGTCTTTTATAAATTCTCTTGGATAGATTTTGTATTGATATATTTTCCTGTACAGAGAGTCAATTATTATTCGTGTATTCGCAGCCTGGAAATTTACCTTATTTTCCTCAAGCGTGAAAGATATTTTACCATTTCATTCTCGAAGATAGAATGCAAAGACTCTTTATCATTGTCATTGTTAGTATCAAATGCCTCAAAAGTATCATTTTTGATGCGATAAATTTCTTTATTTTGCATATTCATTAAGTGTACTATTTCTAATATCAAGGCAATATTTGTCGTCAAATTCATTATCGCATTTTCGTATAAAGGGCCGCACATATTGATGATAAGTTTCTTGTTTCGTATTCCACATATGGGTCTGAGAACACGATCATATTATAAAAACAGTAATCTCCAAAATCGTAGGATAAATGAAAACAAAATTTTACCGAATATATGAATGCTTGAATTCTTCTGTTACTTTTGATAACAATGCGTTTAGATCGTCAGAGATATTGTTATTGATGATGTCTTTAATTGCCTCATATGCAATATCACACAATGTTGACAAAAAAGTCGTGCCATTAGTTAAGACAATAATATTATTTTTGTCCTTATTAATCAAATAAATTAATAGTTTCTAAATGTAACATAAATTATATAAATATATATATATATATATATATATATATATATATGTGTGTATGTAATAATATAAATAATATGTATTATATATATATTAATATATAAACGTTTGCATGCGAGGAAAATATTTAAAGAACTATCATTAACAGAAGTTACCTTTATTTTCTCTTTCTCATCTAAGTTTGAAAATTTGGTGGAAAGTTTTCCTAAGTATTCAATCCTCTGTTTTAATTTATTAATTTGATTGATTAATAGTTCCTTACTGTCATTTTGTCCAACTATATAAATAATTAAAATAAAATTATTAGTATATTTTTAAGAATTATGTATACAATTCAAATATCAATTACATAATCGAATTAACATATTACACAAAATTATTAATAATCGAAGATACATATAACATAAGACATGTATGTGTATGTATGTGGAATTATCTTTAATTTTTAAACATGTGTGCGATAAAATATTTTATTTTGGATTTTATTAAAATCTATTTTTTAACGTATGATATATATATTATAAAAGATAAATAACATACTAATTAAAATAATAAATTTTAGAGCCATTTTAATTTCTTTTAATTCTTCGTTAACTTCGTGAAACTTTTTGTTCTTATCTTCTACGTTTAATCACGACCACTTCGTTCGTCAGTTGATTTTACTTTGTCTATTCGATAAATAAAACGTAACGATTGTTTATACGAAAATGTATATATTTCTTTCTCTTTTCAAAATTCTTCTATTGTAAGATGTTGTAACCTGTGTTGATTTTGTTTTGAACGCGTAACATATCTTTTCGCTCATCATTTTAATTGAAACGAACCAAATTATCTGTTAACAACAGATTAGAGATGAAGTGCAGATTTGACGATACATTTACTGCTTTAGTGTTGTTAATTATTTTGCATAATTTATAAAATAGAATAATTTAGATACTATTTACTCTTTAATTTGATACAAACGAAATAAATGTAATAAGTAAAATAAATAAATATAAATTAATAAATAATAAAACTTTTCTTTTAAAATCAATAATTATCTACAAAAATTTGTATGTTATATACATTTATGTACATACATACCTGTACATATAGATTTGAATTTTATGTGATTTCTTTTTGTTTGATATGTAAATATATGAAGCCTATGTATCGGTCATTTTGTTGTAATGAGTTTGTTATAAGCAATATATATATTATCAGAGCACTTATACAAAATATTTTAAATAATAATTTGTATCTTGTGTCTTAATAAAAAATGAGATAAAAATGACTCGTAATGTTTAAAATAAAAGAATGATGAAAGCGAAATAATGAAAGTCTCATATGGTAATTAAAGCGCAAATTTTTTAAAGTTTAATAATTAAATAATTAATCACATTTGTATTGATTTTCTAACTTTCATTTTCACTTTATCCCGTGTTCATACTGTTTAAAAGTTGTGTAGTATAATTTTTGAAATAAAATTTAAATTTGTATAATAATATTCACATTGTGATATTTGATGCGTGAGCGAATCGAATGGAAATAAAAATAAGCCATAGTTATATGCGTCATGTAAGAAAGTTTCAAATTCTGACATATGTAATTTATGTTAGGTTTGCATATTTACAATATAATAAAATATGAAATAATTTTATTATATATTTTATATCATATCAAATTATTACAAAATCATAAAAATACCCATCATTAAATAAATTTTATCAGGTATTACAATTATAATATAATATCGCAAAACATAAAAATAAATTTTTGTTACAAGAAAATGGTATACGTTCAGGATTGATAGAAAAAGTGAACAATTTTTCTTAATGAAAATATTGAGATATTTTATGTATATTATATAATACATATACATACTTTTATATATATTATATAATATAATATATAGAATAATATAATAGTAATATAAAAGAAATCTATGAATTATCTTTCAAATCGAGTTAATTTGAAGAATTCAATTTAAAGAAGGAATAACTCCAAATTTAATATAATTTAAATTAATTTTTAATAAGATTTTAATTTGCAAAATTATTACGTTTAAATGGTACAATTTGGAAAGAAACATAATATATATTAAACATAATATATATTATTATAACAAATATTAAGATCTTTCAATATTTTCCACAAGAAAGGATTGGTTACTTTATTTGGATCTTAACAATACAATATAATTCCTAGCTTTATTCGAGATACATCATGAGAATGTTTTTTGGATATCCTAAGAAATCCAGAGAATATTCCCTAGAGGTTTGTTGTTTATACTTCAATAAATAATACTTCAATATTGAGATATATTAAAATATTATTTAAATACAATATACAATTTTTGTGATTAAATTATACTATAAATTATTGTGATTAAAAAATATGATTACATAACGCATGAATGCGAATGTTTGTCTTGCTGTTCGAGTAGGAATATCTTGGAGGTATTTCAGAAATTTTTAGTCGACAAACATTGTTGGTACAAATGCTGCATCTAATTTTGGCACCTCCGACGTGTACTTTGGTAGATTTAGGAGTGCATTAGCCTTTTGATATTTCATTATGTTCTGATGTTGATTTTTTGAACAACAAGCCCTTGGAAATGTCTCGTCCTTCGTCCATTGGGCGGTTGTCCATGAAAATTTCGGACGTAAATGTAGCTCGTGATTTTTTATCTATAACATGACGGCATAATATATTATGACGGCGTATTAATGAACACATCTCTTTCTGTATGTTGAATGAGAAAAGATGTAGTCTTTATGATTCATTCAGACAAACTTGCATAGCTACAGAACCGTATGTATAAAGAAAATTTATGCGACTGTGTAAATTCCTTACGCAAATCTGCATAACGATGGGTGTGGAACAATTGCGATGTATCATGTTTAGAAATGGCAGAAGCACTACGTGCGCAACAATAGGAACTGTTGCTGGGTTTGCTGACATGCACAGGAAAAACTTCCTCTTACAATTATACATACACGATGCAAACGTCGTCGATTTTCCTGGTTTCATGTCCAAACAACCTGAAAGAGAAAAAGCATTGCTCGAGATGCTTGAGATGAAAAAAGATGTGTCACACCGTAGTGTACACCGAATTAACATAGAAAAGAACAATATACCGAAATGTATATTAGCACCAAAACATTCTTTTAAGATTGCCTTTAATATATCTTTGTCATTCACAGGGCCCATTATCACGAGTATGTCGACTTCATTCAAAGCATCTTCAATTTTTTTTTTTATGGCATCCAATCTGCGAGAACGTGATCATTACATTAATTAATTTCAACGACGGCATTAATTATTTGTAAATCAAAAATCATGTTTTACAGTAGGTAGAGGAAATGCAATAGATTTTGATTGCACTCACTGACACGCGGAAATTCCAAAATCCGTAAGATTGTAACCATTCTCTTTTAATAAAGAGGTTAAAATTATTCTGTTGCTTTCGTAGATGCGTCCTAAAATGTTTTCTTCAAACCTGCTAATAGAAAGTACACCTATAGATAAAACTTTGATGACTAGAATTGAATCGATACCACATAATGTCAAAATGCCCAGTTCCGATGATCCGATACGTTTGAATCTTTTTATAATGTACTCATTATGCTTTATCAAATAGCCAGCGTTTCTTAAAAAAATGAACAAATTGTTTTATTACCATAAAATACAATGCGTGCTTTAAGAAACATATTAAATGATATCGAACTCCGTATACCTAATATTCTCGTTTATTTTTGGAGCGACCAAGACTTCAATTTCGTATTCCTTATCATCGATATTAAAATAATCATAATCGTCATTATTATCGTTACATTCGTCCAATATCTTAATATTCTTTGGTGTTACAACCGTATTTGCTCCTGCAATCGCACATAAAAGCAGTAATTAATTCTTCATTATAATCAAGCAAGTTTAATTTGCAGTTATAATTTTTACCTTTTGGTATGGGATCTCCACTTCTTACTCGCACGCAAGTGCCAGGTTCAATAGAAATTTCTACGAACTAGAAAAAAAGCGGCATCTTGTAAAGATCTAGTTTTGACGATTAAAATTTGTGTTTAATTTAATTGATGACTAATTCGGCAGAATTATTTTTTGAAAAATTTTTGTTCATACAATTTGCCTCTTATAATATCTAATATTTGCTTTCACACTTTAGACAACATAGAAAAATTAATAGTGCTACCTATACATTAACGAAATGGTGCGAGCCGTCATTCGTTTATTGGAATTTAGCGAGTCTTACCTTGGGATGTGCTTTTAACACTTTTCTTACATCCTTTCCGCTGGTCTCGTTACTGGCTAACATTGCGTATCCATGTTTAGCGGAAGTTCTACAAGACGGAAAGTCTATTGTACTAAATATATCCATGATTAATATTTTGTTGTAAGCGTCAATTGTGTTCACAGTTTGTATATTTATTTTAAAGTATTTCTTGTTACATATATCTTTTAGTATTCTTATTGCTTGGTCCACTGATATCATAATATTTTCCTCTGATTTTTTATACAATTTCGTTATCAGCATTTCTTTCTATAACGAGAATTAATTACGATCTGTGTGTACGCAGTTTCTAAGAAAATTTATTTTATTTCTTCGAGCGTAGAAGATGCTTTACCATTTCTTTTTCGGATTTAGTAAGATGCGAAGTCATCTCAGAATCATCAATGTCACTATTAGAAGACTTCTCAAAATTATCATTATTTTTGGAAGCAATTATTTCATATTCATCAGCCATACAATCTAATATATCCTTTATAAGCATTTCATATTTCTCGAACATTAACATTATATTTGGATAGAAATCACATGTAGTAATAATAAGTGTCTGGTGTCGTACTCCACATAATAATCTGAGAACATATATATATATATATATATATATATATGTGTGTGTGTGTGTGTGTGTGTGTGTGTGTGTGTGTGTGTGTGTGTGTACATGTATATATATATATATATATATATAGTGTATATAAATAGTTAATATTATATAAAAGCTACATATAATCTCGAAAATCACAAGATAAATGAAAACAGAATTTTACCGTTTGAATGTATGCTGTAGTTCTTTTGTTAGATCTGATATCAAGTCGTTTATCTCATTATCTTCATTAGAAATATCATTATCAATAATCTCATTAGTTATATCGCTCAACATCGAGAAAACAGTTATTTTGCCAGTTAAAATAATCAAATTAGTGACACTTTGATCGCATATGCAAATTAACTGTTTCTATATATAACATAAATTATATAATTATACATCGATCATATAGGTATACATATAAATGTGCGTGCATGCGAGAAAAATATTTAAAAAAATCTATTTGAAGAAGTTACCTTTATTTTTTCTTTATCATACTTCGAAATTGAGACAAAATCGAAAGCTATGTTGACCATATTGTCTTGTAGTGAAGAGATTTCATTCTTTAATAACTGAATATTGTGACTTTCTTGCTCTACTATAGTATAATAAAATTAAAAATAAAATTATTTGTAATGTATATTTTTAAGAATATTATTATTTGAATATTTTTAAGAAGTATAGTGTAAATCAATATTACATATAAAATTTATTTTTAATTATTAATAATTAAAGATATTCATACGTAAGACATATACAAAGTGAATCAGAGTCGTTGAACCAGCTTTTTACCTTATGAAAACATAATTGACTGCATACATTATAATTCAATTAGATATGAAGTCGATAATTTTCTCATAGTAAAAAATTAGTTCAACGACTCTGATTCACTCTGTGTATATTTATAATAGAATTATTTTTAATTTCTAAATATGTATATATATATATATATAATATAAAATATTTTGTTTTTATTATAATATCTACTTTTACTTAAACGTATATTATACATCTTGCAATATAAATATACATACTAGCAAAAACCATGGCCCAGTAATCAAACATTTCAACTTCTTTCAATTATTTTTTTTTGAATTATAATCGTATCTTTTATTATTCTCGTTTCCTATGTTGACGTCGACCTCGTTCGTTAGCTGATTTTACTTTGTCTCCGATAAAATGATCAAATTTCAAAAGTCATACGAAAGTGTTTATATTTCTCTCTTTTCAAAATATTTTAAGACTGCGACCTATGTCGATTTTGTTTTGAATATGTCGTGTAACAGATTTCTTTGTTCACGACTTTGACGACAATAATTCTATTGAGAGTAAATTTTGCAAAATGTACTTTCAGTAAGAAAAGCAAAAAGTCCATTACATATATCGACGTAATAAGTTACATTACATTATGTCGACAGAATTGCAACAGAAATTAAACAATGTTTGCAAAATGATAGATTATGGGTGTGGTCAACGCGATGCTACAGATACTTTAAAGCACTTTTTGATTGGTCAATTTGTAAAATTCTTTTTTCTAATTAGTCAACCAAACGCTTCAAAGCAAGTTTGTAGTGAAACTTTGACCACAGTTTATAAGTGGCGGAAAACAAACGCAGATTTGACGGCACATCTGCTGTTTCATAATCATCGAAATCATTTTATATATAATCTAATAGTAAAATGAAATGATTAAACTTCTTATTTAACTGGATACATGCAAAATAAATGTGTAAATGTATTAAATAAATTATGTAAATATAAAAAAGTGAAAGTTTTTTAAACACAATGTTACAATTATCTAATAGATAAAACTTTCGAAAGAATTATACATCATCGTTACTTTAATTTTCACATATGTCTTCTCAACATTAAAATTTTGAGATTTCGCGATGTAGCTCTTGTGCAGCGTGAAATAATTATCATTATTTTTCATTTGTGTGTGTGTGTGTGTGTGTGTGTGTGTGTGGATTATCATTAAAAAAAATTGAGATTTTCTGTTAAAAAGATTCGTTCCTTTTAACCTTTCAAGCGGATTATATAAATTTTCTTATTTGTACATATGAAAAATAGCGTAAAATTGATATTTCAATACATTTTACTTTCACATATCCTGAAAGTTGTATATTATATGTTTTAAAATAACTTTTTAAATTCAAATATTACTCCTGCATTATTCGATTAGCGAAATCGAGTGGAGATAAAAACGTTCGTTCCGAAGTTACATGCACAGTGTAAGAGGGTCTAAAATTTTGAGATTTGTAATTTGTATTGATTATATTTGTGTCAGTATTAAAATATGTCACTATTATTGTACTTTACATTAATAATTACAAAAAATAATTATTGTACAAATATATGTTGTTATTAAGAAGATTTTATCAAATGCTATATTTCTTTTTCTATATATAACATCGCATAATATAAAATAATGTTACGTTAAAAGAGAATCGTATACATTCATGATTGGCAGAGAATATATAAAAATTTTTCGGAAGCTCACTTTTTCTTAACGAAAAAAATGTTAAGATGACAGTATAATACATATAATATTATTATTATTACACTACTCTCTAAATTTGAATCAATGGATAATGATACCTAGAATGCCATTGGATAATTATAGTGACTATTCATTGATTCAAATTTAGAGTGTACTATTATACAATACATATATTATAATGTAATATTTAATATTTATAATATTATAATATATATATTGTATACATTAAATTACAATATACATATTATGATATTAACATAACTGCATAATATTGATTTCAAAGAATTAAATTAATTAATTCTCTTATAAATTAATTAATAAATCATTAATTTATATCATTTTGCAAATAGTGGAAATAAAATCAAGCAAAAAAAAAACAAGAAATCTATTCGCTCGTCAATTAGAAAAAGGGAAAACTTCAAATTAAAGACTAATTTGAGTTGGTCTTTAATAAAAACTTAATTCGCGAAATTGCTATAATTAAATTGCAAGATGACAGACTTTTGAAATCTTAAAACAAATTATTGATCTTTCGATAGTTTCGTTAAGAAAAAAATTTTCGTTGTATTTATCAGTGTGTAAAACAATATTAACAAAATAATCTTCAATTTCTTTTTGCGTAGTACCAATTGTGCGTAGTACCTCACGTATGAATGTTCTTTTTATACAAACGTGATTACTTCATTTAAAGCCGATTGTTCCACCTTTCGATAAATTTATGCATTAGATAAATAGTAAGATTATTCAATCACAATAGCGAATCTAACAATTTATCTACGCGTAAAATTTCACCGAAAGGTGAAACAACCGGCCTTTAGATCTTATAATTCGGACATAATTGAAGCGTAATATAATTAAATCATTATAATTATAATTCAATAATATAGTTAAATGCAAATATATGCAAACGTTTGTCTTGCTGATCAATCGAGAACAATTTGGAGATTTTTCAGTTGCCCATAAATATCGCCGTTAAAAATGCTGAGTCCGCGTCTAACTTTGGCACTTCTGGCGTATGTCTCGGTAGCATTAGAAGCGCGTTACTGAATTGATATTTCGTCATGTGTTGATGTTCAACATTTATGGAGTGAGCACTTGGATATAAATCTACCGTCTTCTCCGACCACTCTAAGGATGTCCACGTAAATTTTGGACGCTGGTGCAGGTCGTGAGAGGTTTTTATCTGTAACGTTACGATAATAATTAATATATCAATACGTATATGTATATCTTCATGAAGGATGTAAGAAGACATATTACGCGAGTCGCTATCTTCAAGATATTATTGTCTGAATTGTCCTGTAGTATGTCCAATAATGGCAGAAGCAATATATGCGTGATAATGGGTACAGTCGCTGGGTTTGCCGACATACACAGGAAGAATTTTCTCTTCTCATTGAACATACATGTTGCAAATGTTGTCGATTTCCCCGGTTTTATATTCACGCCACCTGAGTCAGAAAAAAACATGCAAAAAGACGTGTCACTCAGCGTATTACACCGACGATTACAAGAAAAAAAATATACCGAAATGTATATTAGCGTCGAAACATGTCTTTAAGGTACACTTCAATGTATCTTTATCATTCGTACGGCCTATTATCACAAGTAAGTCAACTTTCTCCAAAGCGTCCTTGATTCTGTATTGCATAACATTTGGCCTGCGAGAATATGATCATCAAATTAAAAACGGCGACGACATTACTTATTTATCAAATTAAGTCTTACTGTGGTTAGAAGAATCGTAATAAATTTTTGTTGCACTTACTCATAAGCCGAAATTCCAAAGTCCATAAGATTATAACCGTTCTTCTTCAATAATGAGGACACAATTATCTTGTTGCAGTCGTAGATGCGTCCTAAAGTTGAAGTGTTTCCAGGTCTTAATACATCATAACCAATACATAGCAGACCCACAGATGGAAGTTTAATGACTGTAATTGAATCGATGTCACATAATGTCAAAATGCCCAGATCCGCTGTTTTAATACGACTATATGAGTATTTAATAAGCTCGTTGGACTTTATTTCGCAGCCAGCTTTTCTTTAAAAACAAAGAAATTATTTTTTGTAATAATAGAATAAAGCGTTTTTTAAAAAATATTAAACGATATTGGAATATCTTTATATACTTAATATTTTCACCCTCTTTTGGAGCGACTAAAACCATAATTTCGTATTCCATGTTGTCGATATTAAAATAATTTATATTATCGTCTTCATCTATTATCTTTGTATTTACAGACTTTACAACCGCCGTTGCTCCTGTAATCACGAATAAAAACAACAATTAATCCACTATAGGTACACGAATGTAATATTCAATTATAATTGATTTTACCATCGGGTATAGGATCTCCACTTCTTACTCGTATGCAAATGCCAGGTACGATAGAAATCTTTTTAATTAACTAGAAAAGAAGCAGTGTTTTGTGAAGATTTGACTTTAACAATTAAATTGCGATCAACTTATCCAACATCTGACTTAATTAAAAATTGTTTTCTGCAAAATTTGTGACCGTACAATTCGTCAACCGTGATTCTTAATATTCCCTTCCACATTTTATATCTATTTCTACCAATGTAGATTAATTTTAATCTCAGTTTAATATTTATCTTTTTTTAGTTTTTAGAACTAATAAAAGATAAAAAGTAAGTTAAATTAAAATTAAATTAATCTACATTGATAAAAACAAGTATTAGAGATAATGAAAGAAACATACCATATATCCTAGCAAAATCGTGCGAACCGTTACTTATTAATAAGAGTTTATTCTTACCATGAGATTTGCTTTCAACACCTTTCTGACACCTTTCCCATCACTGGCCAACACCGCGTATCCATGTTTAGTGGAAACACAACAACGCGGCACATTTACAGAAGAATATATGTCTTTGGCTATTACTCTACCATAGGCATCATTCGTCCGTACGGTTTCTGAATATATTTTATGATATTTATATATTATTGTTTTCATTATATTTTGTGCGTCTTCTAGTGATACCACTTTGCTTTCCTCTTGTTTCTTACAAAAGTAATCCATCGATAACTGTGTTTTTAACTGTAAAGAGAGTTACAATTCGGGTGTATGCACTCTGGTGGAAATTTGCTTTATTGTTTCGAGTGAGAAAGATATTTTATCATACCGGTTGTTCTTCGAAGGAGACCTCCATAGGCATCTTATCAAAATCATGTATATCATTAGTATTATCATTAGTCTTATCATTACTCGTAGATGGTTTAGAATTATCATTATAAAATGAATCAAAATCATTAATATTATTGTCAAATTGCTCATCATCATTACAATCATTATTGTCAAATTCGTTGGCAGAATTATTACCATTATTATCATTATTATCATCATTATTATTATCATTGTTATTATTAAATGGCTCAACACAACTGTCAACACACTCTTCCTCCTTTACATAAAAAATCTCTTCATCTGGACTGTTAATCAAGCATAATATATCCAATATCCTGTTTCCAAATGCTTCCAAACTTGCCTGCGCGTTTCTATAGAAGCCACACATATTAATAATAAGACTCCTGTTTAGTATTCCACATATCGGCCTGAAAATACGTTACAAATAAAAGCTGTAATCTCGAAAATTGCAATATAAATAAAAATAAAATTTTACCGAATAATGAAACATTCTAGTCCTTCTGTTAAGCTTGTTATCAACGTGTTTATGTCAATACGAACATTCTTATTGATAACTTCTTCAATTGCGTCATGTATAATATCATTCAAGGTATCGCCAATTAATAAGATGGTACTGCCACTGTACTTATTGCTCAGAAAAATTAAATCTTCCTGTATAAAACATAATTAAACAAATTTATATATATATAAACTTATATGCGTACGTGCGAAAAAAATATTTAAAAAGTTATTTGTAGAAGTTACCTTTATTTTTTTTTTATCACATTTCGCAAGTTGTATGACATTCACGTTTCCTGCTAAATTGTTTGTAATATACTTTGTTAATACAGTGGCTTCATTTAGTCCGTCTTTAATTTGTCCACTTGCTAATTGAGTATCACAATCCCGTCGTACTACATAAATATAATCAGAATAAAATTATTAGAATATATCTTTTTAAAAAGTATACAATTCAAATCAATATTACACAAAATTACTATAATAATCGAAGATACGCGTACATAAAACAGTATATATGTGTGTGTGTGTGTGTGTGTGTGTGTGTGTGTAAAATTATTTTTAATTTTTAAACATATTGCTTTTATACCTGATAGTTTTAAAGAAATCGTAACTATATATATATATACATATATATATAATAGTTATAAAATATTTTATTTTAGATTTTATTAATATTTATTCTTAATCATATGACATCTTATAAAATAAATATACATACCAGCTAAAATG